TAATAGACATTTTTATGTTTTGAATTTTTTATTTTTCAATTTTACCATTCTTCGTTTTCTTTTTTTTTTTTCTTTCTTTTCTTATCTTTCCCTCTACATCTCATCTTCTCTCTTCTCTCTCTCTATCTGTAGTCAGTGGGCTTGCTCTCCTCTCTCTTATCGTCGGTTGTCTTTTCTATTGTGTAAATTCAAGATTTACTATTATAACACAAATTGTGATTCTTTGTAAATCTTGAATTTATAGTGTAAACTTAGGATTTATCATCAAAACACAATTTCTGTTCCTTCGTAAATCATAGCTTTATATGATAAATTCAAAATTTTACTAATATAAGATAAATATATTTTAGTTACACTTGTAAATCTTAAATTTACTCAGAACACATATTGTGTTACACGTAAATTCTAATAAAATTAAGATTTTTCATCAAAACACAAATTTTGTTCCTTTGTAAATCCTGAATTTACACAATAAATCTAGGATTTAACATCAAAATACATATTGTGTTTATTTGTAAATCCTGAATTTAAAGTGTAAATTTAAGATTTATTGGATAGAATTTACCATGCAATAAATTCATAATTTTCCATCAGAATATAGAGCGTGTTCTTCGTAAATCCTGGATTTATAGTATAAATCTAGGATTTACCATCAGAACACAATTTCAATTCCTTCATAAATTCTGAATTTATACGATAATTGTGGGATTTAATATCATAGCATATATTGTGTTTATTTGTTTATAAATCTAAGATTTATAGTGTAACTAGGAGGAGATGGAGAGAGCGTAAATTTTAGGATTTTATTTTCTGTTTTAATTAAGGACATTTTTAAAATGTTTAGTATAAATCTGGATTTACACTTTTTAGGCTTATTTAATAACTAATTATAAATTTTAGAATATTTATTTTTATTGCCCTTTTAGTTAGGCCAATTTCTTTCCTTTTTTTCCTTTGTTTATTTAAGTTGATATGTTCTAATAAAATGACAATTATGATTAAGTGATCAATAATAGAAAGATAACTATTATAAAAGAATAGTCTAGCACTTTTCTTAAATTTGAAAAAAAAAATTCTCTTATTCTTCTAAGTAATTAAGTCTAAATTAATTCTTTAAGAGAATATTATCAATAATTAAAAACAAATAATTATTATTTTATTAATAGTAAATTTTTTTGTATAAAGAAATTCTTTAAAGAAAAATTATGTCAATAAATAATCAATTTATCAACATATAAAAATTAATAGACATTTTTATGTTTTGAATTTTTTATTTTTCAATTTTACCATTTTTCGTTTTCTTTTTTTTTTCTTTCTTTTCTTATCTTTCCCTCTACATCTCATCTTCTCTCTTCTCTCTCTCTATCTGTAGTCCGTGGGCTTGCTCTCCTCTATCTTATCGTCGGTTGTCTTTTCTATCGTGTAAATTCAAGATTTACCATCATAACACAAATTGTGATTCTTTGTAAATCTTGAATTTATAGTGTAAACTTAGGATTTACCATCAAAACACAATTTCTGTTCCTTCGTAAATCATAACTTTATACGATAAATTCAAAATTTTACTAATATAAGATAAATATATTTTAGTTACACTTGTAAATCTTGAATTTACTCAGAACACATATTGTGTTACACGTAAATTCTAATAAAATTAAGATTTTCCATCAAAATACAAATTGTGTTCCTTTGTAAATCCTGAATTTACACAATAAATCTAGGATTTAACATCAAAATACATATTGTGTTTATTCGTAAATCCTGAATTTAAAGTGTAAATCTAAGATTTATTGGATAGAATTTACCATGCAATAAATTCAGAATTTTCCATCAGAATATAGAGCGTGTTCTTCGTAAATCCTGGATTTATAGTATAAATCTAGGATTTATCATCAGAACACAATTTCAATTCCTTCATAAATTCTGAATTTATACGATAATTGTGGGATTTAATATCATAGCATATATTGTGTTTATTTGTTTGTAAATCTAAGATTTATAGTGTAAATAGAGAGGAGATGGAGAGAGCGTAAATTTTAGGATTTTATTTTCTGTTTTAATTAAGGATATTTTTAAAATGTTTAGTATAAATCTGGATTTACACTTTTTAGGCGTATTTAATAACTAATTATAAATTTTAGAATATTTATTTTTATTGCCCTTTTAGTTAGGCCAATTTCTTTCCTTTTTTTCCTTTGTTTATTTAAGTTGATATGTTCTAATAAAATGACAATTATGATTAAGTGATCAATAATAGAAAGATAACTATTATAAAAGAAAAGTCTAGCACTTTTCTTAAATTTGAAAAAAAAAAATCTCTTATTCTTCTAAGTAATTAAGTCTAAATTAATTCTTTAAGAGAATATTATCAATAATTAAAAACAAATAATTGTTATTTTATTAATAGTAAATTTTTTTGTATAAAGAAATTCTTCAAAGAAAAATAAAAATATTTTTTTCGATAAGATTTCTATTAATAAAGTCTATTTCTAACTAATTAAGTCTAAGTAATCACATCGTATTAAAAAATATGTAATATAAATAATTTTTAATACAAATTTTATAACTGGAAATAGAAATTTTCTCGATAATTTTTTTTTTTTTTTTGAAATGGTCGACAGTTCATTCTTTGTGCTTGTGAGAGAAATTTTCAAAATAAAAACAATTAATAAGTTAAGTGGCCACTAGTGTACACAAGGGCACTACACGAGGCAAAACCTTCCCCAACCATATTCCACAATCGTTTTCAATTATGTGTCAGTCTCTCTCTAGGAAAAAGAGAAGACGACTTTCTTTATTCAATTTTCTCTCTCTAACCGTTCTTATCTGAGTAAGGCTGGTACTACGTAACGCCATCTATAAGTACGGCGATATCTTCACCAGAATATCTTATATTCTGATTTCCTTTTATGTATTTCTTTATTATTTTTTCGGCGCACATTCACAGTCCAAAAAAAAAAACCAAAATTATTTATTCATTTATTTATTGTGTTCTACGATTTTTTTGCTTTTGTCAAATTGTTCGTACACTTGGAAAGTTGAATCTGTCCTTCCTCATATACGTTCTCCACCGAATAACGTGGTCTCTGCGATAAGAAAAAGACTTTCACTACCCAAATTGACCTCCAACAACTCCTCTAATTACACTTCGTACTTATTGTCCTTCGCCGTACGGAAACGTCTTTCATCTCAAACGACCATAATACCCCCGTTTTCAAAATCATTCCCATTTTATTTTCCTCCTTTTTATTGGAAATGAAAAGAAAATAATGAACTAAAGCCTCGTTCATTTTACCGATTCAAATTTTTAATTTTAAGTTTCTACAATTAAAAGCTTTCAGAAAATATCACATCTAATTTTTTTTTTGCTACAGTTAAAAAAACTCTCAAAAAATGTCACATCTCAACTCAAAATGAAAACTCAAATCTGGGAAGCGAATGAGGCCTAAACTTCAGAAAATATTTAACATCTTTAGTGAATAGAAACTAGCTTTCAACTAATCAAAATTTTGTTCATCAATTTTGGAGCTCTAAATTCTTATCTGATAAATTTTTTCAGATGAAATTTCTTTAACGAAACCATCAATAATACTACATATCATATTTGTAAAGAAAAAAAAGGAACTTTCATTAAACTTCCAATTAATATCTAATTCTAGACATCAAATAACATTATAAGAATAATTAAAAAAATTCTCCTTCAACTATACCCCTTGTAACACTTAGCCCTTTAATCTTAAAGCGTAATATGTGTTTCCCATGAATAATAAAATTTTAATAAAAAAACCCCTATGTTAAGTTTTTTGACAGAAATTGACATTTATTTTGTTATTTTGAGGTAATTTAGTAGCTCTATGATTAAAATTTAGTTTGAATATAAAACTAATTTAAATTTAAATGTTTAGTTATGATACTTCATTATTGATTGCATGTAAGTTAAAAATTTTATGAATTTTTTTTTGTAGAAAAAAAAAATTTATGAAGTTTGTTTTTGAATATTTAAGTTAGTTTAAATACAAATCAAATTTTAAACCATAGTATTCTAAAATACCCTTAAAATAGTAAATTGAATATCAATTTCAGTTAAAAACTTAAAGGAGAGAGTTTTTTTATTAACATTTTATTGTTCAAGAAGAATGCATGTTATGTTTTAAAAATTAAGGAATAAAGTGTTATAAGGGAGAGAATTTTTGTAATTTAATAAAACTATCAATAATACTACATGTCTACATATCATATTTGTAAAGAAAAAAAGAACTTTCATTAAACTTCCAATTAATGTCTAAAATATTAATATCTAATTCTAGACATTAAATAAAATTATAAGCATAATCCTAACCAAACAACATACAAATTCCACAAAAATATAATGAAAACTAAACAACTTCAAAGCAAACATTGTACATTGACTAAATCTTAAGAGCGTAATGTATGAGTAATTTTGTGATGTACGCTATAATATTTCTAATATGAACACTTATATAGACTATTAAAATTTAATTGATCAACTAAAAAAACAAATAACACACCTCACCGGTAAAACATATTGTAAACGGAAAATGTCAAAACTTAAATAAAAGAAAAAAGAAAAAAAAAAGTAGGAGACACATTTTAAGAACCTAAAACGAGGTTAATTTCGTCATCCAGTTCTTGAAACAACAAAACAAAACGGAACCTGCACTTTAAAGTGGTAAGGACACCAACGTAATTTTAACTTCTCTTCTTCTTCACTCTCCTTGAGGCTTGAGCCACCCATGACCCAACCTAACAAACAAAAACAAACCAGACCAATATATTTTTCTGCCAAAAAAAAAAAAAAAAACACTTTCTTCTTCCATTTCTCAGAACTCAGAATCCTCTTCAATTCTATTTCTTCCCTTCTTCTTCGTCTATAGAAACACGAACAAAACTCCCAAATACCCACACCAAAAAAAAAAAAAAAAGGAAAAGCTCGGAAAATACCATGTTAAAGAAGAAGCAGAAATCCGAAGAAACATCTACCAACAACATGTTCGATCTTCTGTCGGAAGAACTCATATTCTCAATCCTCGACTTCCTCGACGAAAACCCACTTGACAGAAAGTCCTTCTCCCTAGTCTGCACCTCCTTCCACTCCCTCGAAGCCAAGCACCGCAAGTCCCTCAAGCCCACACGATCCCAACACCTCCCGAAACTCCTCACCCGATTCCCAAACCTCAGGCGCGTCAACCTCACGCTCTGCCCCAGAATCACCGACTCCAACCTTGCCCAAATCTCCAATGCATGCGGTTCCAATTTGTGTTCCATAGATCTCTCGAAGTCGAGGTTTTTCTCGGCTGCGGGGGTGATGAGTTTGGCGATGAATTGCTGGAATTTGAAGGAGATTGATCTGTCGAACGCGACGGAGATCGGGGATTCGGCGGTGGCGGCGTTGGCGGAGGCGAAGAATCTGGAGAAGCTGTGGATGGGGAGGTGTAAAGGGATTACGGATCTGGGAGTTGGGTGTGTGGCGGTTGGGTGTAGGAAGCTGAGGTTGGTTAGTTTGAGATGGTGTTTGGGTGTTGGTGACTTTGGGGTTGGTTTGATTGCTGTGAAGTGTAGGGGACTTTAGACTTTGGATTTTTTTTAAATTCGGACTTTGGATCTCTCTTATTTGCCGGTAAATTGTTGTTAATTGTTACTATTATTTTTGTTATTGTCTTTTTACTTTGCTTGATTTGTCTGTAATTTTTTTTTTTTTTTTTGGAGCTGGTTCGAAGTCCTATGTTTTTAGCTCTGTTTTTGGCTATCTTTGATGGTTTTTTTTTTAAAAAAAATGGTGGTTATTCGGGGGCATTGCAATTGTTTTATGTTTTTGTTCACTTTTGTTTAATGGTTAATTTTTGTTTTTATTTTTGGTGGGAATTATCTACTTGGGGTGGGTGTTATTATGGTTTGGTATATCTTTTTTTTTTCCTTGGTAAATATGGTTTTAGATTGTGGTCATTTATTTTTGTTCTCTCTTTTCTGCTTTGTTTTGGCTATCTTTAATGGACACACACATATAATGTGTGTGTGTTTTTTTTTTTTTTTTTTTTTTTTTTTTTAATGTATGCTCAAGTATTTTTCTTCACTTTATCTTTCTTCTAATATACCAATGTCGTGACGGGTCAAATATCATGCCAAAGATTTGTGAATTCGTTACGTTATAGTGGCTTTACAATGAGTTTTCCTGGAAAATGTGAGATTTATTTTTTTTTCCTCCCTTTTATTGGTTTTTGCAGATCACAGACCAATGCTTACCATACATCTTAAAATTACAACATCTTGAAGATTTGGTTCTAGAGGGGTGTTTTGGCCTAGACGATAGCAGCCTTGAGGTCCTCAGATATGGCTGCAAGTCGTTAAAGGTATTGAGTGATGATTAGTTCGCTTTAGGATGTCCTTTTGTTGTTTCAAATTATAAAATTTTCTTATTTCATTTTGTTGTGATACAGTGTTAGAAAGAAGTTAAATGTGATACATGTATATATCATTTGAAATGACATTTGTAGACTGACAAGTTGAGCCCATATGCATATTGTTCATCTAGGAGCTTTGGGTCTTAACTTCTAGAATGGGATGGTGAAAATAAGGTAGATTTAGTAGGTTGAAAGTTGCGATTATCATTTCACAACTCGCTTCATGAGGCATTTGTGTCAAATATTCGCTTCATGAGGTTATTTAGAGGAAAAAAAAAAGTGATCCGGTTTCTTACTGATGTAAAAATTTTACTTCTTTACTTGCGTTTCTTGTGACAGAAACTTGATATGTCAAGTTGCCAGAACATTAGTCATGTTGGGATATCTTCACTTACTAGTGGTGCTGGTGAACATCTGCAGGAACTCACCTTATCATATGTTTCTCCTGTGAGTCTATTAAGCATTAAGTTTCTTTGTTTTCTTATAATAATTGAATGTATCACTAAACTCTAACCCATAATTTTCGATGTGGTTATCGTGGTGGTTTTAGGTGACGCTTGCTCTTGCTGATAGTTTAATGAAGCTTCCCAGGTTGCAATCAATCAAATTAGATGGCTGTCCGGTTACCTATGACGGACTGAAAGCCATTGGAAATTGGTGTACATCTTTGAGGCAGTTGAGCTTACGTAAATGCTCGGGTGTGACCGATGATGGTCTCTCCTCTCTTGTCACCAAACATAGAGATTTAAGGAAGCTGGATATCACGTGTTGCCACAAACTCACTTACGTTTCCATCGCCCACATTACGAATTCATGCACAGCTCTAACTTCTCTCAGGATGGAGTCATGTACTCTTGTTCCTAGAGAAGCATTTGTTTTGATTGGACAGAGATGCCATTTTCTCGAGGAACTTGACCTGACCGATAACGAAATTGATGATGATGGTTTTTCCCTCACTCTTAACTTTTGTGCCATTAAGGACTACTTGTGTAATTCAGAAAACTCATGCTCTGTCTCATGTGCAGGTTTAAAGTCCATCTCTAGATGTGCCAACCTCTCTGTCTTAAAGCTCGGAATTTGTCTGAACATAACTGACCAGGGAGTTTCACAAATTGGTTTTGGTTGCTCAAAACTCATTGAGCTTGATCTGTACAGGTTTGTGTTCTTTCTCTGTTGAATATTCCATCTTCCTTTGGACAATCCGTTGTTTAAGGCGTTATTACATTTTAGTTTCACTTTAATCATTGCTTGTGGTGCAATTCTAAACATACAATTTTTGGTCTTTTGATTAGCCAATGCTTATAGTATTTACTTATTGGATTAATATAAATTTAACTGAAATAATTCATTTCCTTTAGGTGCAAAAACATTACAGATTCAGGCATTTCAGCAATTGCCTGTGGTTGTCCTGATCTTGAGATAATTAATATTGCCTACTGTAAAGACATTACTGATAATTCTCTCATATCATTGTCACAATGCTCGAGGTTAAACACACTTGAAAGTCGAGGATGCCCTCTAATGACGTCTTTAGGTCTTACAGCTATTGCTGTACGATGCAAGCAACTCTCCAAGCTGGACATAAAGAAGTGCTCTAACATTGATGATTCTGGGATGATTCCACTTGCCTACTTTTCGCAGAACCTAAGACAGGTAAATTTTCAACTTCATTGCTTTTAGGGAATACCCAACAGAAATCTTTTACTTGGCATGCTCATTGCAACTCTTTTGGTAGATTAATTTGTCGTACAGTGCTGTGACGGAAGTGGGGCTTTTAACGCTTGCCAGCATTGGCTGCCTACAGAGCTTGACTATTTTGCATTTAGATGGTTTGTCTCCCAGTGGACTTGCCACTGCCTTGTTGACATGTGAAGGACTAACAAAAGTAAAGCTCCAGGCGTCCTTTAAATTGTCTCTACCGCAACCTCTTCTCAAGCATTTGGAAGCCCGCGGTTGTGTATTTCAGTGGAGAGATAAAGTTTTGCAGGTAAGATTGTCCTTGAATATCATTAGGGCTAGAATGTCACTGTTTTTAAATTTGACTGTAATACCTGCATTTCGTAATCAAGCAACAATTGACAAGAGAAATCAAGTTGAAATTGTAAGTGACTGGAAAGTTTGTCGGCTGAAATCAAGCTCAAATTGTTTGTCAATTTTTATTAGGAGTCAAATTTAGTATCTGTTATTAGTTCGCTCCAGTTGATGGTATTAAGGTCTATTTTGATGATTGACAGGCTGAACTAGACCCACAATGTTGGAAACTAAAGTTAGAAGACATCATGTAGAAAGGTTTATGACAATTCTTAGTGTGGAATTGCTAGAGTTGCTTAGAGGTTCTGTTCACGGGTAGTTGTAAACGTTGTATCATGAAGGCAAAATAGGGGCAGCCTTAGTTCGGCGTCGACTACAGAACCTTAGAATGACTTCCTCGAAGAATCTTTGGGAGATGGGATGTTTTTTGGTTTATAAATCGATGTAACCCAGCAGCTGTATTTCCAATTCAGCTGATTGGTTGCTACCAGTCTTGGCAGCTTTCTGAGGCAGTGGATTCAACTATAAAGGGAAGAAGAGTAAAAGAAGGAAACAGTTGAAGAAAGGGAGTTGAATGCATGTGTGCATAGGGTTTTTACTCACAAAAGGAAAAAAAATATTTTCTCAAGTTAGAAAACCTTTTGTTTTGCCTAAGGATTGTACATAAGTTGGTCACCCACTAATATTGTCGGTTCAGTGCCGACTGATGCAGTAGGTTTCTCAAAATTGGAAAACCGAGAACTAAGTTGAAGAGCATGAACAGCGACCAAAACTGGCCTGTTTGCATCGGTTAGTGCCACTTGGTTCCTCAATAAGGATAAGAACATTGATAGATTTCATAACGCTAGAAGGAACACCGGGGAAGGAGGAATGTTGGAGAAGAACAAGAGGCTACTGGAGGTGGAGGAGATGTTTAAGTTTCAGCCGAAACAGACAGAAGCCAAAATGGGAAAAGCGCCACTGATTGCTCATACATTGGGCAGTTTGGTTCAATGTCAATAACCTCTCTGTTGGTTTTTTCGGCTGGTGTTGGTCGGTGCCGCTTGGTCTGCCGTCAGCTTTTGGTAATTTGAACAGCTCTAGTTTCGGCCCAGTGTTTTGACATGCATGTGTCTTAACTTCCATTAGGGTCAGACGTGTTATTTCTTTTTTGGGTTATTTCAAATCATTAACCAATTGATTTTGGAACTGATTGATTGTCTTTTATTGTAAGATTATTGTAATAAAATACTTTTATATTTTTAGGACAGGCTCTGATCTACAAACTATGACATCCAAAGCTTGACTTTACATAAAAGAAAAAAAGGAGGAATTACTAAAATAGCTTTTAGAAAATTATTTATCTTGGCGTGAACAAATGAAGAAAAGAAAGAAACAGACAGAAAACAACTTTCATTAGGGTCATACGTCTAAACAAGAGAGAGAGAGAGAGAGAGAAAAAACGTGCGTTGTAAAGTGAATGAATTTTATGTGAGAAAAAACACTTTTAGTAAAAAAAAGTTTATTTTAAATTTTTATGAAAAAAAATACTATATTAAAAATGTTGGAGTTGTGATTTGAGTTATGATTTGAGTCGTAGAAAGAACAGTTTATCAGTGGTTTAAGGTTTAAAGGAATCTTCTTAATTAGCTATCCTGGGAATGTAACTATTTTGTTAGTTTTAGTTTCTGTCCCATTGAAAGTAACTAATTAATGAAAGAAGTAATATGGTGAAATCGGTTAAAAAACAGTTGGGGAACTTTTCTGTGCATTAATAATTTCCACGTTCTTAACAACCCTTTCACAGGTCAGTCCGTGGAAAACATTTTCAGGAAATTTCATCATATTATTAGACTTCACGCTTCAGTGTATGTAGCCGCAGAGACTAGCGCCGGCGTTTTATTCACATAGACAATCGGAAATGAGTTCAGAATTGTATGACTTCACGCTTCAGTGTATGAGTTCAGAATTGTAAAATAATAATTCTGGTAGATTACTTTATTGTTCCTTAGGGCATAATGCTCCATACAAATAATAGGAAGATCTTAGCATTTTACCTCTTTTTACCTATGACATTATTATTATTATTTTTTTTTTGGGAGGGAATATACCTATGACACCTTTGCTTAACTGGATTGCTTCGCAATTGGCATAGAAGGGGGGGAAAAAAATTAACCATTAAATTTAACAAAATAGTTCACCTCACAATCTTTGCTTAATTGGGTACATTGGCTGTTGGTAGGGGTGGCAATTCGTGTCACGTGTCGTGTTTTGATCGTTTATTTTTAAATTTACAATCAACCTGAACATGACCCGTGACACGAAATTTTTTAAAAACCGCAACACGAACACGACACGACCACTTTACGAATTGACACGACACGACCTGAAAATAACCCGTAACACGAAATTGA